ATTGCTGTGGATATAATCTCTTTGCTGTGGGTATCATATGATTGCTGTGGGTATTATATGATTGCTGTGGGTATTATATGATTGCTGTGGGTATCTTCTGATTGCTGTGGGTATCTTCTGATTGCTGTGGGTATCATCTCACTGCTGTAGGTATCATCTCTTTGTTGTGGGTATCATCTCACTGCTGTGGTATCATTTCACTGCTGTGGGTATCATCTAGTTGCTGTGGGTATCATCTAGTTGCTGTGGGTATCATCTCGTTGCTGTGGGTATCATCTCGTTGCTAGAGGTTTCATCTCATTGATGTGGGTATCATTTCACTGCTGTGGGTTTCATCTCATTGCTGTGGGTATCATTTCACTGCTGTGGGTATCATCTTGTTGCTGTGGGTATCATCTCGTTGCTGTGGGTATCATCTCGTTGCTAGAGGTTTCATCTCATTGATGTGGGTATCATCTCATTGCTGTGGGTATCATCTCGTTGCTGTGGGTATCATCTCGTTGCTGTGGGTATCATCTGTTACTGTATCTTCACACTTTTTTGTAAAAGTAAGATTTCTACACCAACCTATACACTTGCTACTGCTTTTGACCAATATTTGTTTTTATGGCCACTTACCTTGCATAATATAATTATAATATTTTGAAGTTATGTCCTTGGCAATATCTCTTTCAATTTGGACCTTGAAACACAATATGAATTGAGTGTGAAAACATGACACCAGACCTGTCTGCAGTTAATATGAGTTGAGATATCACTGTGGTACCCCATACCATCTTATTTAATTACATTTGCTTACTATTTTGGTCGTCCAGGGATTGATGTAGCCTGCTGGGGTATTTTTAGTTGCCTGTCGTCAATAAGCACATATTCATACGCTGTCTGTGTTCCACCTTCACATCACAATATGGATTAAGGGGTGAACAATGAGGATTAAATCGGGAACTTGGGGACATAGTACGGCTCAACATGTGATAATAATATGCCAGGGACATTTAAACGACAGGCCTCAAAAGTGTGGCAAAGTGTCAGGAGTATAGGTCATCTGAGAAGTCATTCAACCTGTAGTCCTGTACAGGAAGAGGACTGTCATGGTCAGTCGATTTATTAAAACTCTGGTTTGTCATAAATGATTTGTTTACTTCTAATTAGCGCTGTCAGTGTGGGCAGCAGTTAAAATGTAACTTCAAAATTGTTTATTCTTGGAGGTATGCCATGTCATTGAAATGATTACATTTGTTATTGTTATTTATTTTCTATTTTTTGAAAAACATTTCTGTTATAAAACAATAATTAAAATAATAACAATAACAGTCCTAGTATGGTAAAACCGGATGATTGATGTTCATATTTTGTTTTTCATTGTGTAGCCTAATTTTCATCAAACAATAATTACTATATTTATTAATAGAACTATACTAAATGCTTCTTTATATAATGTAGTGGTCTGTTTTTTTTTTTTTTATTTCTATTTTTAGATTACAAAGTGAATTAATCTAGCTACTTTATAAAGGTTTGCTGAAGATTGATTCATTTTTATAGGCAATATTAGTGTGTACAATAATTTTATTTAAATGGGTCAGTTGTGTGCGGTTTGTTAAAAGTGTTGGAGTTAGAGTTTGCACTATCTGTATTTATATAGCACGTACAATTGTACCATGGCTTTGTATGTTTGTTTCTATGCTGTGTCAGATAAGGGTGCAATTGATATGTCAACATGATCATTAATTCTTTGTAAAATGCTGCAGGCTGAATATACAAAGATAGTGTGTAGAACCATGCTATGGTTTACTAATGAGGTGTAATGATGAAAAGATGATATGGCAAAGTCATGTACATGGTAAATTCTGACAACATACTCTTCATAAATCAGAATTTGGTGATAATGCCCCATGGTTCAATTATGAGAATAACTGGTTATACCTTGTTGGGTTTTGTGACAAAATGGCTGCCAGTCAGCCACCATCTCTCAGAATTGCTGGACTAATTCAGTGCAAACTGGTACTAACGTGACTAGAAATAGTTATTTTGCTTAACTTAAATGTGATACAAAATGTCTAAACATAAATTGCTGTTACATCATTTTATTTACGCCATCTAATACTTAGAGCTTACTTGTGGCTTATAACAGAGTTATATTTTAGAACATGTAGCACAATAAAAATATCAATATTGTTTTGTGCAATTGTGTTGACCCGGAGTATGAAAATAAGCATGGAAAATATCAGTGTTATACCATGAGAGCAGCGAATAGCCCTGAAGGAGAGCACACTGCGCCCACTTTGAACATGTTGTCGTGATTGTTTAATATTTTGATTACTGTCGAATGATTTGCTTTGCTGCAATACTGATTCAAAATATATCTAAAAATAGTGAATGCTTAGTATTTCCTGATATCTTAGTACTTCTATGTATGAGTATTAGTAGTAAATTTGAATCTATAATGTTAAGTTAAAGGGCGGTGCATGTGTGACAAATGCGCTCTTCTAATAGAAATCACAAGTATGAGTTATGACCTGAGCATGACTTGCACTAATTACCACCTTGCACTAATTACCACCTTGCACTAATTACCACCTTGCACTAATTACAACCGGTGACTCCTTCGATACTTTCCAATCATCTAATTACAATTTGGTAACGTCTCAGTTTGTACTTGTATATATGTGGAACAGTCAAAGTCGCCATCTTTGTTTATATGAGACCCATATATATCACGCATGCATGATACAGATGCAGATGGCTAGATTCAGACTAACCATGTTGTAATACAAATTATGAAAATGCTTTGTATGTTATATAATATATACATTGTTCATAATAATAATAACTTTATTGAAATAATTCATTTTGAGTTGAACATAGTCAAATCTCAATACATAATACATAAACAAGAAAAACATCCTAAAATGGTTTAACAAAAGGTCTTGGAAGAATCAGGGAATTGATAATTACTGTATCACATTACCATACTTTCTTTTATAAAAATACCAAGCTGTATCAATTAGGAAGTGTTGCCCATAATGTATTTACATTTTGACTCTACATCCATCAAATGAAAATTAACAGTTTTATTTCTAATTGAGTCATATAATTTGCTCCTAATTGTAATATGTTGTGGGCATTTAATAACATAATGGAATTCATCCTCAATTGAATCTACCTGTATGTTGCATCTTGTACAGATCCTATGTTCAACTTTACCCTTTGGCCTTATATGCCTGCCTTTCTCAAACATTAAGGGATGGTCACTTATTCTTAGTTTGCAAATTCTTATTCCACCATCCTTAATATTAGGTACTCCTACATTTTAAATTTTGTTTTGAATAATTTGTATGTTCTTAGTTTATTCTGTCCTCTGTTCTATCTGTATTTATTCTGTCCTCTGTTCTATCTGTATTTATTCTGTCCTCTGTTCTATCTGTATTTATTCTGTCCTCTGTTCTATCTGTATTTATTCTGTCTTCTGTTCTATCTGTATTTATTCTGGCCTCTGTTCTATCTATATTTATTCTGTCTTCTGTTCTATCTGTATTTATTCTGTCCTCTGTTCTATCTGTATTTATACTCATGCTCATATGTTATTGATAATGATTCGTTCTAACCACTCAAGTGAGAATATCTTTTTACCCTAAATCACAAATGAGATGGGTACTCCCCGCCCCCACCTTTCAAATTAAAAGAAAGGTTCCCCCCCCCCCAATTAGGTCTTTACAATTGAATGGACTTTAAGATTGACACATGTTTATTTAGGTGTATATTACATCTCTGTCCTGCTTTTCACAAGATTTCCAATATTATTGTAATTATTAATTTAATAGCTAGACAGAATATCTGAGTTCACTTAATCATTTATTCTGTCTGAATTATTGCTAGATAGTGCTTCCTTGTTCTGATCAGGCCTGAAATGGTTCACTCTCATTCTTGTTTACTTACGCAATAGAATTACAACAATGCTCACTCATTCTACTGAGGTCAGATGTGTAAAAGTAAAATTCATGTGTATTGTAAAATATTTCATTATGTTTCATTCTTTTACTATATATTATATACTTCTTTCATCATGTTTTATTTTAATACTATACACCTTGTTTCCTTACGTTCTATTTTAATGTTTCATTGTATTTTATTTTATTCTATTTCCATAGCTATTCTTGATTCTCATATTAATAAACCTTCTTCATAACATATTTATAAATTCCCCTCTAAAATATGTAGCTACAACCCCCATAAAATAATGTAATATCCCTGATGTAAATGTCACTGCTTTAAATGGCTGCCAGTTATTTTGCCCACGTTACCTGATACTATTCCTCTCCATGCTAGTTTGCATGATTAATTAACAGAGATTTGTTTCATTTTGCGACCTCACTGATGTAGTGTAAGGCTGTGCTCCTGTATGTGATGATATCTCATACATGGATCTTGGTGAACTCAACGTTGTAGTCAAAGATTCAATGTGATGATGTCTCATACATGGATTGGATCTCAATGGATATACTTAGCATTGCATCGGTTGCATTTCTACTTATTTTGGTAGTGTCTGTGTTAGCTTATCAGATCATGATGGTGCATACTACCACACTGACTGGCCTTGGTAATGTATAGTGTTATGTAATCGCTTCTTAGTTAGCTAGCAGTGTGTCTGCAGGCTATACATGTTTTCATGATTCCATGATTATGAAGAAGCTTTATTCATTAGTGACTCTCCTTTCATATTTAAATGTATACCCAAAAGACTGTAACTATGGAAACAGAGTAAATTTGATGTCAGAGCAGTTTTGAATTGGACATTTGTTTAGTTATTTTTTTCTTCAGTGAAAGCATGGTCGGTGTGCAAACTGATGGCAGCCATATACTGCATCATTGTTTGTTTTATGTAACTACTACTATTGTTATGCAAATAACTGCAACAGTTGGAATGTATAATTTTTTTTTACAATACTAAATGTCAATTAAATGGTCAGTGTTATACCAGTTACTTTCATTATCAAGACATTTACTTTAGTTCTTAAATTATTTGTGGACTGTGCTATTGTGTTATGTACCTAACTAATATTGGACAGGGGATGTATTCATTGAAATTAACTAAATTATTCCAAGATCATTAATTCGTTTAAAATTGCATTGATGTTTATTTTTCCATTGAAACTAAAATGGTATTTCTTCTATTAATAGCGAATGTACTTCCGTAAATTATATTGAACAGAAGTTTCGGTCACAGACGTTTTAGCCACACCTGTGTTTTATATATTATTGATTGAGTTCTCGCAGATATATATTATTTATGTTCATTAAAGTGAAAGAGTCGCGACAAACAGCCATAACGTGTTGTTGTTTACAAACAAGTATCTAATCATACGTTGTTATCACTGATTGGGACTCAATTCTCGTGCATGCATATGTGATGACATATTTACTAATATTCATACATCGTAATCAATTGTATTTATTTATTTACTAATAACTATGTACAAGAATGGCGTATTTCTATTTTAGTTTTAACTCGTACACTGCAAGCATGGCATATTTTTACTTGTACATGTACCTTGTACCTTGCAGCACAAGTGTGACATGAAACTAAATAAGTAGAAATGTGCTGTGTTGCAACGTATGAGTTTTAAGTAATTAAATAGAAATACAG